TGAAAGTTTTCAATATGACCTTACAAACGGACGCAGTAGGCTGCATGTTCAGACATGTCCATGAGTGCATAGTACCCGCCATCAGCACGTCTGTTGATTTAGTTGTTCATTCGTATTGACAATATAAAGTGCGGACTATGGCATCGTGATCGCGTAGTGAGATAAGGGCAGCTTTATGGTAGAACTTTACGCGTAGCTTAAGCATAGACCAGTGCTTAGAAAAAATGACGCGTGCATTAAAGAACGATTATCCTCATCGTACGGCTATGTACAGGTGGTACATAGAATTCCAAAGGTGCAATTTCACTTTGGAGGAAGCTTAGAGGGAAGAACGGCCACGAACGTCAGTAACAGAGGAAAAAATTACTGCTGTGAAGAAAATGCTTGTCGACGACCGAAGAGTGACATACCAATAGATGGAGTAGACCATGCACCTTCATGCATCAGCAGTTCATTCAATTCTGCATGACCATTTACAAATCAGGAAACGTTGTTCCCTCTGCGTACCGCACAGTCTGACTCATCGTACGACTTGATGCCGAAAGCCGCTGAGAATGTTTGATAAGGGGCAATTTCGGTACGTGAACAGCATCGTGACAGGTGAAGAGACTTGGCCCGTATCGTCAGTCGTCCCTACAATTGTAGGGCGCGTTTATAGCCACCTTGATTGTTATAGTCCTTTCTCTCCTTCAAAAATTTCTAGATTACACTTGTCCCGTGTCAGCGTCAGCGCTCTCCTAATGTGAAGATATGTTTTATTTTTAAATTACAGGAAATTTCAGGCTGATAAAACATGATATAGCTCAAAAGCAAGCATAATTTGATGCAAATAGATGTTTGTGACATAACCTCAAAATAGAGTTCTGTCACGGAGATGTGCCGACCAAGGTTCAAAACAAAATTTGGTCCTTTGATGATGAGGACACACCAGTAGCTGCCAGACAATCCCGATCCGTTAAGAAAAAAGTGATAGCTATATTTTTCAAATCGAGCGGGATTGTGGAGCGTCTCATTTTGAACACACATAAGGCAGTCACAGCTGAGTGGTACATGGAACAGTTCCTGCCTAAAGTCATAGAGTGTATGAATAACCTGTGGTCAAAATCAAGAATGGACACTTTGTACCTCCACCATGACAACGCTCCAGCTCGCCGCGCCAAAGCCTGCACCGAGTATTTGACCACTACTGGACCTATTGAGCACCCTCCTTATAGTGCGGATCAAACAGCGGCTAGTGTACTTTATATCAAAAATCAATCCATGATGTTTGGGATCAAATCAACGGTTTTAAAATGGAATTGAATGTATTTTTCCGAACAACCAGTCAAGAAGACTTCACTCATTTTCCAAAACTAGTGCAGTTAGGAAAGACAAACTTAAGAGTTGTGAAACAAGGGTGGAACGTTATCATGAAGAATCTGAACGAAGATTCTATTCAATCAATAAAAATTGACTGATTATTCCGGAAGGGAGAAATAATAATTCCATTGTGCCAGATATCTGAGAGATATAAATACCGTAGGATCTGCACTGTCCACGTGGCTCTAAAAGCCTCCTTCAGTTAAAATAGGAATGCAGCTAGAATTGATTAAAATGCACTATAAAATAACACTAAATTCAAGCAAGTACACCACAAGGTTTATAAAATTGAGTTCTGTAAGACCCCGTCAAAACCATCCTTTAGCTTTGCTACTGCAAATCATCTCATCCCAGTTTATACCTGATTACGAAGCTAATTCACAGACTCATCTGTCACATACGCCTTCATAAACAGTCCTTGTAACTTTTTTTACCATTGTGGCATATATCTTGTGTTTCAAATTCGACCCTCACCAGTGGGATCTCGGAAACGGTAAGAGATCCAAAATCGCCCAAATGAGGGCAAAGCAGTGTACTTAGGTAACAAAATGTCACTTAGAAAGTCTTGAAATCCAAAGTACTTCCGGAGAGGGATATAAAAAACCGAATTCATCCTTAAATCGTTTTAATTTTTTCTGGCTTAGTTTGTAGTGGGATTTTTAAATAAATTGCACACTCACATTCTCCTCTGCAAGATGGCCTAATTACAATTTCAATATGCATCAATTTTATTGTTTCTTATAGCCGCCATATTGGAATTTTGCGCAGGTAATTAGAGTTTTTGATTTTAATATCAAAAATGCATTTGTCACACATTGACATTTTCAAGTCTTAGTTATTCCAGAAAAACAAAGGTTCCTTGGTACGCCATGTATTTGTCATTTATATCGCATACCAGACCAGAACCCAAATTTTAGACTAACAGAGTTTGGAAGACCGAGGAGGGAAATAAATCGAGCAGAGAAGAGTCTTTGCCTACAAAATAAAGACATCTGATATTATGTACCTTTGCTTATTTATGATTTATTGTTATTACCATCCGTGGAATTTTGATTTTGTGTTCATTTCAATTCCTTACAGTTTTCATCAAACAACAAATTCATGGCCAATTGAGGAGATACATCACTGAATTAAAGACTGAAAGGTCCATTTAAATGTGATAAATTCTAATATAGTGTCCATATGAAAAAAACAAATTTAGTGATGGAAGAAATTTAGAATTGAAAATTTGACAACGCCACCTTGTGGAGGAGGATGTTGAAATGCTACTTCAAATAAGGCCAGGAAGAAATAATACTGATTTTGGAATAAATCTGGTATGCGCAACAAATGCCCATGTGATGATTTGAACGCCTACCTAGGCCTATTTTTGAAACTACTTATGTTTTGAAATGTCAATGTATGACGTATTATAAATTTGTGGAACTAAAATTAAAAACTCTATCCATCTGTGCAAAAATTCAATATGGCGTACATGTTAAAAAAACGATTCACCGAATCTGCAAAAAAATATAACTTAATAGCGGAACAGCAATATGGTTTTCAAGAAGGCAAATCTGCTCAAGATGCTATTGTAAAATTAACAAGTAAAATATACACGAATCTCGATATTGGCAAACCAACTGCTTGTGTTTTTGTTGACTTGGCAAAGGCATTCGACTCTATTACTCATGAATCGCTTCTAACAACTTTAGAAAACTTAGGTTTCCGGGGAATAACATACAAACTTATAGAAAATTATTTGTCAAATCGAACACAGTGCGTCAAAATTAATAACACATCCAGTGAACCCCATATTATATTATACGGTGTACCTCAAGGCTCAGTATTAGGACCCATTTTATTTAATCTATTTATCAACGATTTGTTCAAAATAAGTAGTACAGGTAAAGTTATCGGTTTTGCGGATGATACAGCTATTCTCTATGAAAGCAACCAGTGGCATACACTAAAAACCACAATCGAACATGATTTCAAAACATTTATAAATTTCTTTTCGGAAAGAACTTTGACAATTAATTACAACAAAACACACTATATAGCATTTTCTTGTAACGACAGGCTCTCACCAGAATTTAAAAAACTTGAAGTTCATACAAGCAGTGGTCTCAAAGAGATTCAGTCAGCCGATAAAATAAAATACTTAGGCGTGATTTTGGACAAACACTTAAAATGAGATACCCGTACAGAGTACCTTGTGAAGAGACTGAGATGTATTATTCCAAAATTCAGGTGCTTCAGAGATATTCTAGATAAGAAATATCTATATAATCTATATTATGCTCTTGTTTATCCTCTATTACTTTACGGAATTTTGGCTTGGGGGGGAGTTATGAATAATAATTACAAAAAGGTTGATGTAATCCAAAAATTAATTCTAAAATTGATCCTCCATAGGGAGATTACTTATTCAAGTGATTTTCTATATGTGGAGGCTCAGCTATTAGGTTACAGACAAATTTATTTTTATTGTGGTCTAATACATTATTTCAAATATTTAAAATACTTTAATCGTACCATTCATAACTACCCAACAAGGTTCAATCAAAATTCAATGTGTATTCCACAAACATCAAAAACCATTACACAACGATCTCTGTTTTTCTTGGGACCAAAATTCTATAACTCCATACCAGAGTCATTGAAAGTAATTAAATCAAATAAATCATTTAAAAAAGAACTAAAAAAATGGATTTTACAACAACCAAGGTACTCGATCCACGAAATTGTAGATCTGAAAAATCATTATCAAAATCAATAATATTTTACTTACACTAACATCCATACTTTTAATTTAGTTCTAATTGTCTGGATATTTTTCCTGACATTACCAAAATAATTCACCAAATTATACAGTATTAAAGGGTTTTTTTGCATACACTGACTGTACTATTAGTTTTTATTTTGTACAAACCCAAACACAAGTGCAAACTTTTTTTGGGTGCTTTATGTTTATTGTGCACAATATTTGATATTTACTTGTATTTTGTGACAATAAACATTATTATTATTATTATAATAAAAAATATAGTTGATGCTGGAGGATAAAGCATAAAACGTCATATTGAAATCCTAATTATGTCACCTTATAGTGGCAATGGTCATCTGCAATTTATTTTGAGGACAAATAAAGTCACGATAAAATTGAAACTATTTTCAGAAAACTGTTTTTCCGTCTCTCTGCGGAAGTACTGAATTTCGAAATTTTCTGAACAATATTGCGTTAATTACCGAAATACGCAACTTTGCCCAAATTTGAGCGACTTCGTTTGCGAGAATGGTTAGCGTCGAATCGAAAACACCTGGTATGTTGTTTGTAACGTAGAAACCAAAAATAGTTTATCTCATAAAGACTTGTTTTGTTAATTTTTTTTTGGCCATCCTAGATGATTCTCTATTTTATCTGGCGCCCCCCTCAAAAAGTTAGCTCATGTTTGGTATAATATACGCCTACGTTACGGAACTTGTACGTGAGAAAGTTTTGAATGTCCGGAAGGTCATGGACTAATGAGTTTATGAGCTCCCGCAATGTCGTTCGAAAATTAGAAAACGAAAGTTGTCATAGCGAACACTGTTTTTTTGTCTTATACTTGCAGGCTGTACTTTCTTTGACCTGCTTATATATTCAACGTACAAACGTCATGCAACTACTGGTTGATATGGATGAGAGATTCTGGAAGATTGAAGAGTGCAGGAACAAAGAAGTGAAAGCTGAATGCCTACAGAAAGTGAAAATATTGAAAATCAAATATCGCTCATACGTGACTTTTCTCTTCAGCTGCGGTCTCTCATATTTTTACGGAAGATTGATCGAAAACAGGTATATATTGGATTTGAAACTGCTCTTGAAATTATGATACAATCTGCTTCAAGCGCTATAAAAACCACTGGTTAGTAACGCCAACATTAATATACTAAGTGACATATAAATCCGAACACACAGTTTAAACGGTTTTATTTAAATAAAATTTTGTATAAGTACTTAATGAAGCATAATAAGTAGATGATAAAAATTTCAAAATGATTGCACTGCTTTAAAGCCCTTTGACCTTTAATAATGTGTGGATGCACCCTGATGTGCTACGCATTCTCCAACGCGCCTAGGCATGCTTCTGATCAGGTCGTCGTCCATACCGCAGACAGGCGTATCTGACAAAAAATCAAATTCGAGTTAACGGATTCAAATCAACAAGGTATAGCATACCTTCAATCCCGCAAAGTGGCATAACTCTAAGTAGTTCGCTCATAGAGATATCAGCATAAAACTAAACGTCGCATCTCTCAGAAATGAAATACAATACACCGCAAATAGGCGTAAATGAAGATACGCCTACATGCGGTGTCCATTTTTTGCTACTCTCTCAGTGGTAACTAAGATATGTCCTTTTGACTTACAGAATACATATGATGTTTTGTCCGAATTAAGTCACACCTCATCTGAAAGCGATCCCTTTGCTGCAGTCGAGATTTATAATCCGGAAGATCCGGACTATCATCAAACTTGTGAAGTTAAAAGCTGTAAAGGAGATGTGTTCAGTTCGTGCTTTCAATGCTCAATTTTGCTATGTTGGAAGCATTTTGAAGATGATACCCTATCCTGCCAGGACGGACACAGGACAGTACAGAGCAGTGTACTTAGCATAGAGAAACAGGAAGAGAGGCGCCCTGAATTTTTTTTGTAGAAGGTTCCCAGGCAAAAAGTGATAGGAAAAAAAAGTCAGAGAAGATAAAAGAAGAACTGCAAAAACGTTGAGGAATCAAGGCGAAACATATATTTCGCCTGTAACTAAGAAAATTGTGAAGGAGAAAGCACTTAAGGGAATCTGCAATATAGAAATGTGTAAGAAAAGAAAAAGGATGTGTTATTTGTTCAGCAGTCCATTAAGAACAATGATATTCTCACAGTTTTATAGTCTTGGTGACCTCCAACATCAAAGAGAGTATATAGCACGTTTTGTATTATCTGAAAACCCAAAACATAGAACTACAAATAGCAATGATCCACGTCGTAAGCAAACACATTATTTTTTCTTACCTCTAGAAGATATCCGACAATTAGTTTGTAAAAAATGTTCCTTGGGACCCTTGGGATAAGTGAGAAAGTTTGCAGAACCGCAATAAAGAAATTGAATAGAACAACGAGTGTGATAGAAAAAGAAAATCGTGGAGGTCGACGGGAGTTACAATCAAGAGACATACTCATTAGAAAAAGTATTATAGAGCACATAAATAGGTTCGCCAGAGTAGAGTCACATTACTGCCGGAAGTCCTCAACTAAACAATACCTACATGAAGATTTATCTCTGAGTTCAATGTATCACATGTACAAACTGGAAGACCAACAAACAAAGGGAAGTTTTTCTTTGTATAGAAAAATTTTCAGATTCATGAACCTCTCATTTCTCAAACCAAAAAAAGATCAATGTGGTCTTTGCAAGTGTTACAGAGAAGGATCGGAAGAAGTAAAGGCTAATTTGGAAAAGGAGTACTTGGCCCACATTTTAGAAAAGGAAACGGTAAGAGAAATAAAGAATAGCTGCAAAGAAAAAGCTAAAAATGATACAAAGGTGCTACATTTGATCTCCAACAAGTTATATACTTACCAATTTCTAATCATTGTTCCGTATTTTATAAAACGCGGCTTGCTGTCTACAATCTAACTATGTATGAAGTAGCATCTCGAGAATGTTTTTGTTATACATGGAGTGAGACTGAAATTAAACGTGGTAGCTCGGAAATATCGACTGCTGTTTATTTATTTATTTCCGAAAAAGACAAACAAGGCTACAATACTGTTGACTTATTTGCAGATGGTTGTAGTGGCCAAAATAAGAATTCGATAATGGCTACCACTCTTTTATATCTCGTCAGTAATTGCTCAAACGTTAAAGAGATATCGTTAAAATTTTTTGCCTCTTGTCATGGACAAAATGAAGGCGATTCAGCACATAGTGCAATAGTTACGCTTTGAAAAATGCAGGTGAAATTATTGTACCGAGCCAGTTATTGCCAGTCTATGCATTAGCAAAGAAGAAACAGCCATATAAGGTTCGTCCCTTAGACTATCGTAATTTTTTTGATCTCAAACAACTCGCATCAGACTTAAGAGTATTATCTATTCGAAAAGATGATAAAGACATGGATGTGAATTGGGAAAATATGATGGAATTCAAAGTGACAAGTGATAATTGCAACAAAATCTATTTCAAGACTAGCCATAAGCAAACAGACTACAGGTCCATAACCTTGAAAAGAAATGTTTACGATATTTTAAAAAAAGAGATATCTCTGAATAGCGACCTATGAAAAATCACAAATAAAAAATATAATGATTTGACCTCACTTTGCCAAGGCGATAGGCCTGCCATCACTCTACCAGAACATCAACGTTTTTATGATTCACTACCTCATGAGGACCAGCCATAAATGTTTTTGTTTGAAATCATCTTCTTATTTTTGTTCTGTATTATCCTTGAGTTGCTTGAGTATTATTTATATCTGAGAATTAAGTGTTTTTTTTATTTAATCTAATTTTATTCCATATGGAGTGAAAGGCGTATCTTCAAACCGCTAGACTATTGTAATTGTCAAGGTTACCGCAAAGAGGCGTATCTGGAAAAAAAAATAAAAAACATGTTTAGCTGAGAATATGAATTTCCTTTCCTCTATATACTTCTCAAAAGATGATCAACAGACTTTTTAGCTATGTTATTGGAAGAAATTATGCTCATATTGTCTAAAGTAGTAAAGATATATGAAATCAAATAACTGTCGATATTCATTTTGCTTCTACTGAAAATTTATATAAAATCAGTTACGCCTGTTTGCGGTACGGACAACGAGGTGGTCAATGTCCTCCTGTGGTATCTCATTCCAGGCAACCACCATCTCCTCTCGAAGTGCTCCTAGAGTCTGAGGAGGGCGTTGCAAATTGAGCAATCTCCTACCCATCATATCCCACACGTGCTCAATTGGGGATAAGTCGGGAGATCTTGGTGGCCATGGTAACAATGTGACATCATTATGTTGAAAGAAGTCTATTGTGACTCTTGCAACATGTGGTCGAGCATTATCTTGTTGGAAAGTTGGATCTGCCAGGGTGTCAAGATAGAGCAAAAGATGGGGTTCTAGAACTTCGTGGATATAACGCTGCGCGTTCATGTTACCTCTGATGAAGATTAAAGGTGACCTGGAACCATACCATAAGCTATAGCACCCCAAACCATAACTCCAACAGTGTGATGAACATGTCCTTCAACAAAATAATGTGGATTCCTCCTTTCACCACGTCGCCTTCTAACCCTGGCACGACCATCGTGCATGCCTAAACAAAATCGAGACTCGTCACTAAAGACAATACTGTTCAATTCCTGATCCCAGAGTGACCGTTGTCTGCACCACTCAAGGCGATTACGTCGGTGTTCTCGAGTTAAAGGGAGGACCCAGTGTGGCCGGTATGAAAACAAGCCAAAACTTCTCAGTCGTCGGTAAACACTTCGCATGCCAATAGGTCTTCCGTGTTCTGCAAACCATTCATTTGCAATGGACCTGGTAAGTGGAGAAACGGTCCCTTAAGGCCAATAATCTTTGCGTACGGCCTTCTCGAAGCCATGCCTGCCAACACCTAACCACAGTGTCTACACTTCTTTGCACTCTAACTGCAATTGCCCGAAAAGAAAGTCCAGCTTCCCGAAGTTCCACTACACGGCCCCTATCAAACTCACTAAGTTGACGAAATCGTACAGGTCTCCGTACTCTAGGCATCGTAACCGATCGTAAAGGATGTCAAGAACCAAAATCCGCTAACGTTGATTCTTTACTGCGGCTGAAATATTCATTTTTAGAGCGTTAGTGAATTAAAAAAAAGCAGTATAAAAACCGGAATGTCCAACTGATAAGGCTGAAAATTTTTTCACTTGTTATTTACAGTAAGATAAATACATTCACCAACTTTTATTAAAATAAAACCATTTAAACTGGGTGTTCGGATTTATATGTCACTTAGTATATTTAGAATTACCTGGGAGTATGGTGTTCAAGAAAATTAGTTCCTGTCAGCAATGGGTACAAGGATCATAGTATATGAATTGAAGGGCTTGAGCCGTCATCGACTTTATTTCGAGAAATCTAAAGTTTCAAGTTTTATGTAAATCCTGAAATCGCGTTTCTTGCTTGGCTTCAACCACAGGCTTGCGTTTTAAGAAATAAAGATTTGGAGAGAAAATGATCTTCCTTTTAGTTTTCATATCCAGGTTCTGATTCTTTTTCACTTTTTTGTTTCGCATGCGTTAGGAAGTTCTTTAAGTTCCCCCCGATACTGCGACGTTTTACATTTTTTGATTTGGTCGCCGTCGCTTTTGGAAAAGCCATAATAATTTTTGAGCTAATAATTTCTTATGTTCTTATGTTTTCACATGTCTTTTCTTTATCTTGTTAGAAGATCCAGTAACATACAAAATTTGGTTATCTGCTTCATGAAAATTGTCTGCTGCATCAGTTGATGCTACGGTAGGTATTGATTGGTCTAATATTGTCTTTGGAACAGCCCATTTTTGAGTTCTTATTTTTTGGAATGCGTGCTTCATATTTTCCTCGTCCCATAACTGCCTGTTTGTTTTTCTTTGATAATTATGAACCATCTGAAACAAAAACAAAAAAATGCTAAGCTTTACACAAATATGCCGCAATATAAAGGAAAAACGGACTAAGGCACGTATTGTCCGGTCCATTTTGCCTTTTCTGTAATTCCAAGTTAAAGAGAAATTTTGAGGTAATGTGTGCAACCATCTTCTTTATTTCGACAGTCTGGTAAAGCTAAATCATTGTAACTGATAATTCTTATACCGGCAACAAGAAACAAAACAAAAGTTCAGACAAGTCAAAAATAACAGTTTTCACATCAAAATACTAAAAAAAAACTACTCACCGTGATAAATATCCATCGTAACGCATGGCATATTTACCATTACTGACCGAGGTAGGGCGGTGTGTAAAAAACTAGAATTTCGCACTGTAAACTTACCAACCAAGCAAAACTTTAGTTTTCTTCATTTTCCTTCTTTTTTTAGAACAGCAGTCGAAGATAATTTGATCTTCGAGTCTTACCTACCAGAGGGTGTCCCATTTTGGGTTATGTTCTTATGGATGCATATCCCTAGCTACGGCTTATCGCTGCTAGATATTACTATAGATTGCACCGTATTCAGCATCATGTCACTTACTGCCATACAGTTCAAGCTTTTAGCATACGAGATGCAAAACATTTTTGCAGAAGCTACTGATTATTTCACCATAAAGGATAAGTTTAAGAGATGCAATGATCAACTTTCGTTCTTGCTGTGGTAAGTGAATGAAGTATGTGATGTTTTTATCTTTGGAATAGCGTTGAGTCTATGAGACGGACATGCCAGGCTTCTGCCTTTCATAGCTACTCTGCCGAGCTTCCTGGAACTGGAGCTGGGCGGTACGACCGCTCCTTTGTTCCTGGGTGTAGGTTTCTACCCACGTGGCTGCATAAGTCTAAGAAATATATCCGTACATTAAATGCATATCAGAATATTTATCACACGTATACTCCATGATGTTTAACAACTTATTGTCAACTTAAAATTATTCATGGAGTTTGAAGCAATATTACGACAAACATTAGAAACCATCGCAACGCTACTCAGATATTATCCAAAGCATCTTGATTATTATGTTATAAAAATGTTTTAACATCATGGTACGAATAATGCATTGGCACTTTTTAAGACAAATAAATCGAAAACTATTAGCTTTAGACTCTTCTAACGAGTAAACCTTTTTTGTTGTGGAAGTACGAGAAAATAAAGAGTTTTCGGTCAGTTGTTGTATGCGGGGTAGCACAAAAAAGTTATGTTATTTACCGAAATAGTGCTGTAAGTGACGCCTTCTAGAAGTTTGGCCATAAAAATAATGAATTCTTATTTCTTATACTAGAAAAATTCCCTATACCGGGTTTTATGTCAAAATCTGGAATACTTCTCAAGCAATAGGGAAAAATAGAAAATAAAATTGTAACTTTGATAACATCGTAAACTATCAACTTTTAGACTGAGGTATGTATAGGTCAATTCACATATTTTTGTCTGTAGTAACTCCAGTTTCGAGATTTCCCAACCTTTCGCAAAAAATTCACTAAATCGTTTTTATTGTCTCCTGATTTTATTTGAGGTGGAATTTCAAAATTATTTAATAATAACATTGCCACCTTATCTCCTCCGCCACTGAATGAGGAAGTATTGTAATCGCAAAAAAATTCGAAAATAATTTCCTTTATTCGATTTTTGTACATTGATAACTAAACTTTTTACAGTCTAATCGGTGGAGTGTTACCATGATGCTTTTTTTCAACTCAACACTATATCCTAATATGAAATTGACCTGAACGGCTCAAAAATTAATAATGAAGTGATCAGCGATCTATTACTATAGATTCATCTTTTTTTGTAAAACTAGATAAGCTTATCGTATGTGACCGATTTATTTCAAAGCTATCAAGGTAAATTGGGTGGCAGAGTGGTGAGGGAGTGATTATGTATTGCTAAGTAACCATGGCTTCAGCTTCTTTTAAAATTGTTTAGAGTATTCAAATGGATGGCTATTGTATCACTTGGCAGCAGTATAAGAGAAGCTCCTTTCGTAGAGACGTAAAGTGCTTAGGTATAACTAATATTGGTCGATTCTTGGTAGCCAAGTTATTGATGTTTTCAAATTTGTTGAGTTTATTTAAAACATATTCTGGTTTCTTATTCACCGAAACTTTATGAATCAAACATGAACTGTGGTGTTTTCTGAGATTCTCCATGTTCATTTTATAATTCTCTTTGTACACATGGCTTATGCGATCAAATTTCCGTATACCTAGAGAGAAACGGTAACAAGAATTTTGTAGCCGTTGTAGCTTGTCTTTATCATTTTTTATTATAGCTGGGCCATATACACTTGCGCAGTACGAAGCCCTTGAAATTATAAGAGCATGACACAATAGCATTTTCAGTTTATTGTTCAATATACTTCTTTGATGAAATAAATATTTTATATATATATATATATATAAAATAAATATATATATATATATATAAAGGTGAAAAACTAAAGCTTTGTTAAATTTTGTCGAAGTACCCAACAAAAGGCGGAAGCTTTAGTTTTTCAGCTAACTGGTTTAGACGAGCATAACCACGTCTCAAGATATATATATGATTTTGAGCATAATTCTTCAAGATGGAAATCAAATTTAAATTCATTGTCCAACCATAACCCTAAATTTTTGCTAATGGTTACAATTGCTAATGGAATTTTATTAATTAATTAATTCTTGAGAACCTAGCATATTTTGTTTTATACTTCAACTACCACGAAGGGCTAATGCCTAAATACCACCCTTGGGGTACCGTGGGGCTATAGGGAGAAACAGGGAAAAGGAGGGGGGGGGACGCCATACGAAATCTGACGAGGGAACACGTGTGCATGCAGCATGCACACATTCTGGCCCCGCCTACGAGATCCGCCACCTACTATATGCAAAATAACTTGGCAAAAGCTCAGCAAAATTGATCCATCAGTAACTAAAGTTACGTGGTGACAATAGTAACTTATAGTGATATCAAAAGAGACTCTTATATGTCATTTTTTCGACAACAAAGTGCACCTAGATCTTTTAATTAGAATTTTAGGCTACCGATATTGAATTTTTGCATTTCAGTTTCAAGACTCTCTTAAACGACACCTTATCAACAATGATGCTTATGTACCTTGGAATGGTTATATTGATTCTGTGCCTAGAGATGTACTATATTATGACTATGTAAGTATCCCTTTGAGATCATGTCCTTTTGCATGTTTTCAGAGTATGCATGCTACAAGCTCTATCAGCAAGGGCCAACCTTACTCAGCATTTCTTTTTAAACTGGGAACTCACAATATCGTTGCCATTTTCCGAAACAAGCTATCAAACAACGAAATCTATGTTTTTCTGCACATCTAATGAAGCCGTATCTATTAAAATCCGCCATTTCGACCTTCCAAATTGTAGTAAGCCCAGTTTTACGTGTACTCTCACGACTAGGGATTTATCAAGTAGCTTGATATTTTGATTGACTATTTGACTTGAAAATACTATTACTTGAAATGTTAATGCTTGACTTGGTTTCATTTTTTTATTGCTCTACTTGATTTTTAGTCAAGCATTTTCAAGCTACTTGATACTTGTTGACAAAGTATATTTCTGTTTTCCTAAAGACCTTTAGTGATATTTATTCGTACAACCTAAGATTCGCATTTTGCATTTTACTGCAAACAATCACGTAGAAAACAGAAATTCGGTAGATTCAAGGACAAAATCGGTAGGAAAAAAAATGAGCGACGGATTAAGGGCTTTTGAGCTACGCAGCGCCATATATGACAAATGTATTTTCGTATATCGCGGACATATAACACAAATACAGAGGTTTTGTATAAGTATAAAAACAAAACAAAATGAAACTCAACAACTTATTTTATTATTAAATTCGGTCAATGGTCAGTTCCATTATTTTTTATTTTACCACCAACACCATCAGGACTCTCGTGAGTAGCGAATGTAAAGCTAATTTTTTTTTATTAGCTGATGAAGTACTTTTTTCTACTTGAGCTTAGTTTTATCGTTCTGTTATTTGTTATACGTTGAACAATTTATTTTGTTCCATGTCTTTGAAACTTGTGGCAAATAAAGTCCCTCCGTTGTGTATTTATAGTCTACTCGTACACAAGTACTTGAAAGACGTAAAAGCTACTTCACTTGACTTGACGTCAGATTGCTAATATTTTGACATGTGACGTGTTCTTATGTTCGGATTAGCAGTGTGACACTGGCTATATAAAATTTTGGTGGTTTTTAACAAATACAAGTCATCTTTGAAATTCCCATTTTCCGAGAACCGCTAAAATCGCTTGATAGATTTTGACACATAGGTTTTCTCTTAATAGCACAATTCTTTTCAGTTACTTTACAGTCGGATTGTTTGTCTCCACAACTTCAAAATAAGGCTACCAGTTGCTTCTGGAGAGAACTATGCAATTGGTGACAACAGTTGGAAAATTAAAATTTCAAATTAAAAATTGTTTCAGGGATTCTTTCCAAGAAATCGCCCGTGCATTTTTTTATGCAGCATTGATATTCTTCGAGTTCCTCATTTGTTATTGCGTTCCTTCCCAGGAGTTAATTGACGAGGTAATATATTTCATGAAATACACACTAACATAATTTGAATTAGGCTATATTTTAGCATATCGGGTGTTTCAAATTCGACTCTCACCATTGGGTTCTGGAAAACGGTAAGAGATATGTAATCGGTTGCTCCATTAGTTAACTATGAAAATGGCGTTAAGAACGTTTTGTAAGTCTCCCAATTCCCGGAGATAGAAAGAGAGAGAGATAGAGATAGAAGAAACAGAATTTTCGCATAACAGTTTTGTCTGACTTTATTTGGGAGGCATGTCAGAACAAAGGTACATTAACATGGCCACTATTTCCCTATACAAGGTCGCATAATTAAAAGTTATATATGACGTTTCGTCTGTTGTCCTCAATCATCCACTTCATTTTTTCTAATAGACGACTTACTGGATTTTTGTTGAAACGAATTTTAATGCTGATTCCAAACGTGTATAATATGTCATACATTGGCAAAACGTTAGTTATTTGAAGAAAAAGAATTTCCTAAGTAGGCTTTGAAGTTATCAGATAGTCATTTGTTTCATAATATCATTGCATTCCATCAGTTTTTATAGGTATAGGTGAACAGTCCTATATCCGATTTTAGTTATGTGATATTGTACATATCATGACATGGATTGGTATTATAAAACTTCAAATATCTAAAGAAGTAGTACTTCCTTTAGTTGGTTTCATTTAATCGATTTGAGAACAATCTATTGCTAAAACTTTTTCATATTATTGAAGGGAAGAATTGAAAACATTGGAAGCAATATTACTTTATGTAACTGATACAAACATCTTGGAATAAGTAAAAGCCTCGATCATGTTGCAGCGTCCTAAACGCATTGCATATCCCTCATATCTAGACCTATGCACACATCCTGCATCCCAACACAGATATACTGAGTGACAGAGAAAGGTAAACACCTATGTATGTTTATCAGATTTTAATCATTTTCGGGATATATGTCCAGTGTCCCTTAATAGTAAAATGATTGAATTTTCAGCTTGATTCGTCAACTGACTGCAGAAGCTGTTTCAATAATATGTTGAGGATCCACGATTTCTGATACACTCGCTGACACGCCTGGGCATCGTGCTCGATATCCTGTTGGGGTATCTCATTCCAGGCTACAGCAACTTTGTGAGTAAAAGCTGCTAAAGTCTGTGGAGGTGTTGCAAATTCAACAGCCTGCGACCTATCGTGTCCCAGACATGTTCAATTGGAGATAGGTCAGGCGATCGTGGTGGCCAAGGTAAACGTTGATGCTATGTTGATCCATGGGGGCTAAAGATGCTCTGGCAACATGTGGTCTGGCATTGTCTTGCTAAAAAATCGGGTTTTGGATGGTGTTTAGGTATGGAATACGATGAGGCTCCACTACTTCCTGAATATAGCGTCGGACTGTCATATTGCCTCTGATGAAAATTAGTGCTACCATAAGCAATCACAAAAAGGCTTCTCAATGAGCTACACGAAATTTAACATTTAAGTGACACCGTAAATGTACGAAAACTGAATGCTTCTTTGTCACCAAACAATACACGCAGCCACCACAAAAACTTAACGTGTTGTTCATGGCTAGATAAATCGATATGTCAAAAATTCTTGAATTATAATAAACACACGTAAGTGTTTTTTGTCACTCAGTATAGCAGGCTTCTCTTATTGAAACCCATCTTTGGTCAGGTTAACATTAGAAACAATTCTAATTACTCAAGTGACGTTTTGCAACAAAGTCATGTAGAATGTTAAAATAAAGCAATGGTGATTTAATCGGCTAAGGTGTGATAAACTGTCATTTTCAAAGCCAACTATGACGATATAGGTTTTTTCAACAAGTTAGGTTTGATAATCTCAATGTTTAAAATATTACACGTTTTGAAGTCAACTCTCTTCAACTGTGTAAAAATATACAGGGTGTCCGCAAAGTTGGGGTTTTCTTTTACACGACGTGTAGATCTTGAAAACATAAGCAATTTTTCTTAGTACCATATACACCAATGTGGGAACCGAGATAAAGGGCTCTGCAACATCAAAAATATCTGAATACCGTCCTGTAGCCGCGACCCGCCGGGATATCCCCGACTGTTACAAGGTCTCAACCCGACGGCAGAACTGGGTCGGGCTCAGTGTGTCAGGTTAGTATGCAACCTTCAACCGACGGCGACGGTTACGGTCACGCGTGTAGAGGTAAACGAACTCGTATAATCGATTGCGTTTCAAAAAACAACAAGCACTAGAGACGTGGCTAGAGAAGTGCAAGTATTAAAAACTAAAGTGTGGCAAACGCTGCGTGAAGAGGGGCTGTATCCGTTTCACGTCCAACGTGTACAAGCCCTTCAACCTGACGATTTTCCAGCAAGAGTGCGGTTTTGTGAGTGGTTGTTGCATCAACATGACAATAATCCGGACTTTTTGAAGTGCATATTGGTGACAGACGAATCTACGTTCACGCGTAATGGGGTGAATAACTTTCGCAACACTCATGTTTGGTCATTTTCAACAAACATTTTCGGTAAATGTTTGGGCTGGCATGGTGAACGGTATGCTCATTGGACCATTTATTCTCCCAAATCGATTGGACGGGATGCAATACCTAGACTTTTCACGCAACATTTTGCCTTCCTTGTTAGAAGATGTGCCATTAAGTGTAAGACAATCAATGTGGTTTCTGCGTCTGCTCGGTAGCACTTCAGCTGATTTCATTTTCTGTTGGAGCGGTATGATTTCGGGCAGAGACGTACTTAGCCCTTCTCGTCAACTGGAGAGTGAGTACTTTTTCCTTTATTTTTTTTACTTGGTCGCCCTCGTTTCACTACACATTACTTTTGTTATTTCAAGGGTAATTGTTTCTGAAAAGGAAAACTCCAACTTTGCGGACTTTGTATAGTACTCGAAATTGTGAAGCTTTCTATGCGTCATTTTTTAGTTACCTGAATGCGCAACTTTCCCCTCACAATCGACTTCGTATATCCGTTTCCGAGATCCCAGTGATGAGGGTAGGATTTGAAACACCTGGTGTAATACTTTTTGAATAGTTACAACGCAGTGTATGTGTATACAGGGTGGCGCATCGAAAACCAAATAGACGCATTTACTGGCAGCTCAGTTTTTATTTGGAAAAACGCTCAGACCCGTCGATTTTGTTTTCAAGGGGGACACAAGTTTGGCAAAAAATCACGTTAACACGTGCATGGGCGGGGATGACACCAACCCTAAAATCTTAAATGCTAAGGGGGGTCGAGTGATACCTTATTTTAAGGGTCTTTCAATTCCCTTTATAATGATATAAAATTAATGTACTTCAGTTCAGTAGTTTTGAAGATTTATTGATTTAAAGCTTAAAGTAGACTTTAATAGGTACATCAGATTAGTTTGTACTACTTTCAAAAGAAATTTGACTAAAAGAATTTGCTTAATAAGTAAAGGCTTTGCTTCACTACGCCCATGGTTTGTTTATCATTTTGTTGTTGAAAATAGCTATTGGAGCGTTTTTTTGTGGCAAAAAGTTATATCTTTAAGAAAGATAAGAAAATATCTGGTACTTATTTTAAATAGGAATTTAGTTCACAGTTTGCGATTGATTTGACCAAACTTTGTTGCTAAAATAACTTGTAAAGCTTTATTACATAAATTAACCATGGTATATTCCACATTCCACAGCAGAAAGAGTTGAAATTATCGAAATATTTTTCGGAAATAATCAGTGCGCTAATAGAACAGCAGAAATATTTAATGAGCGACATGAGAACAGTAACGTGCATCGAAAATATGTTCTAGAACTTGTAGCTAAATTTCGGGAAACTGGGTCAGTCGCCAATAAAAAATCCAACATTGAAAATCCCATAAGGAACGAAGCAATAGAAGTGAGGGTTTTAGGACAAGTTTATGTAGATTCTACGTTAAGTACCCGCAAATTGGAGACTGTGTGTGGTGTTAGTCGACTACTACTACGACGAATTATAATCGATGAACATTTTCTAGTCAACATTTGCTTTTCCGACGAATGTTCCTTTTTCTTTAATGGCGTAGTAAATCGTAATAACTGCCGATATTGGTACGATTCTAATCCCAGAATTTATCATGAGGTTCATACACAGCAGCCACAAAAATTAAATGTTTGGGCTGGTATTTTTGGCGATTATATAACGTATATAGTTGGTCCTTTTTTCTTACCTGGAAATTTGACCGGTGAAATATATTTGGAATTACTGGAAGACGCCATAGATGCTGCATTAACAGCCATAATTGAAAATCAGAATGATCGGCGGTACATTGCGAATAGGTTGGTGTTCCAACAGGATGGTGCCCCACCACATTACGCATTACGCGTTCGACAATATTTAGATCAGACGTTTCCAGATCGATGGATTGGTAGAAGAGGTGCCATTGAATGGTCCCCAAGATCGTCAGATTTATCACCTTTGGATTTCTTTATGTGGGGTCATTTAAAAAGCAAAATCTATGCTACTCAGCCAACATCATTAGAAGACCTGCGACAAAGAATTGTGAATGAGTGCCATCAAATTACTCCTCAAATATTGCAAAATGTGCGGCAAAGTTTTGACCAAAATCTTTATTATTACATGGAGAGTCATGGTGGCCATTTTCAACAATTACTTGTTTAACGGGTCAGTTCATTCTTCATTTTTAAATTAATTTGCTGCCAAATGTATTGATCTCCACTAATGATGATGTATTTAGTTTATTTAAGCTTTAAATCAATAAATCTTCAAAATTACTGAAATGAAGTACATTAATTTTATATCATTATAAAGGTAATTGAAACACCTTTAAAATAGGTTACCACTCGACCCCCCTTTCCATTTGAGATTTTGGGGGTGGTGTAGCCCCCGCTTAGGGGGTTGCACATGCTAACGTGATTTTTTGCCAAACTTGTGCTCCCCTCGAAAACAAAATCGACGCGTCTGAGCGTTTTTAAAAAAAAAAAACTGAGCTGCCAGTAAATGCGTGTGTTTCGTTTTCGATGCGCCA